ATCCCTAACATGCCAAAATGAACTGGACAGATTTACAATAGATGTCAGTCCTTTCGGGCTATGCTTTGCATCACAAAATGTCAAGTATTTCTGTGGGATTGGCAAGGACTAAACACTGCGCTGGGCATGGTAGGGAATCAGCAAGAACTCGTTCAGATTCTCAAGTATTTCGGCAGCTCTGTTAGCGTCCGTGGAAATAACGATGCTGTGATGTAACGTATGGCAATTTCTTGAGGTGTTTTTGACAAACACACCAAACTTAGCGCCGACGCGAAGTCACTATCGCCTTGAAGAGAAGGGTTTACAATGCGGTCCTACCTCCAAATCGCCCTACGGATTGGAAACCTGAGCAAATTATATACAGTGGCTTGTTACTTTCGGTCATCACAGGCTTCCCGTCATAAAGCAAGTCTGTTGGGAAAAACGCGTCAGCCAGCAGCGTGCTCTGCGTCATGTATTTAGTAAAGTACGAGCGATATACCACTCTGCACAAGCTGTGATATTTGAGTCATGTGAGGCGCATGACAACATACCGTCTTCCGCGTCATGGATGGTTTGCGTATTAGGGGATGTGGAAGAATGTGGAATAATAATCCAGGAGATAAATTGGTCAATGAGTATGAAGGCTCCTAATTCAAAGCAAGCGCTGGTTGGTGTCTCCTGGATGCTGGTTTGGATTCCGTAATAAGATAAACACGTTTCGTTGAATTTATAATTTACTTGGTAAGGAGCCTGCCCAAGTAGCGTTTGTGTTGGGAGTTAAGCTGTCCCTCCTCATATCGCTTAACTTCTCATTCCAGCTACCATTTCAAAGGTGATGTTTAATATGAACTAACAAGGTATTGCATATTTGTAATTTTATGTTTTATTTTTACTATCTTCTTTTTGCGGTAAATTGGCGAAGATATGTTTTTAAACTACAGCCAACCTGCACTGACTACTGATGAGGATGTTTGGCAGTATTAGGGTGATTTGTACAAAAACATTGTTACCAAACTATTTACGTCTAAGAACGTAGCGTATTTTGCCTAGAACTTTTTTTTAAATTTGAGTAAAAGAACAGATAATTAAAGCTCCCATATGATGTCCGGTAAGTTTGCATTCATAGATGATTCCTTAATATCCTTTAAAACGCTTCTGCAGATGTAGCGTGAGTCAGAATGGAAGGTACTCCCTATTTTTCCTTAAGTTCTATCACATTTTTTAATGTTTGATCTGACTGTGAGATGCAGAACCTAACGAGAGCATTCGGTCTTCAAGTGCTTACAGATAGCTTAGTTACATCCGGACCAAGAAATATAATACCTCTAATGTAGGTTCACCTAACTCTAGCATATATGACGTTCATGCACGAAATGGCACAGCTGAAGTCCCACTTCTAGGTGGAGAAACAAAAAGCGTATATTTTGTTTCATGTCTCCATTGCATATTTTCAGTATTCAACTAGGCTAGGACATCCGAATAATTGCCATTAGCTAGTGTGTTTTGCAAGGAGAAACAAGACTATCATTAACTCTTTTGTTCTAAATCCCTACAAAATTTTATCATACCCGAACACATATCATCTCACAATGTCGAGAGACATGTTTATTACCCCCTTATTTCGGTTAATATTTTTGCCCCATAATTTAACCAATTGATTGTATTCCCCTGTTATTATGTTGGTTACGAGTGGGCTGATCTCCTGTGATGATGGTTTGAAGCTTCTAAGCAACATGTATACCCACGCCAAACGACTAACTGGTGAATATAATACGGGTGCAGAAATTAAAATTTGTGCCAATCTGAACTACTGAAATCATGCTTAATGGCATATGACGCCAACCGGTGAACCAGGCAACATGCACGCACAAAATACAACTATGAATGACGGAAGGGCTTGAGCGACAAGTTCACCAAAGAACTACAATTGCCCAAATGATTAATAGAATTGATAGTGGCCTGTGTTTTTTAAACCACACCGATGCATGGCAAGATGGGGCGGGGAGTTGCGGGTGAAAACTCTTGAGGCACTATCCTGCATGGAAGCTGATATCCGGGGACGGTTCCAGGAAGCCCGTATTACAGCACTTGTTCTCTTTTACAATACTTCATTTTGTATTGAATCTGTTGTGTACCTAGATCCTAGTTACTCCGTCTACACCGTCCTGTCTTACCAATATTTTCCATTCACTTATTCCATAGAACATAACCTGGCACTTAGTTGTGCTGCATTTCTTCTATACACCACAAATCGGATAACTATTGCACACTTTCCTAATCACCCTGTCTTTGGCATCTTCTGCAATTCTACGATCCACTAAACACGTCCTGAACTTGCAGTGAACAGGTGTTCGTTTCTTTATCTACGTATCTCTGCAATTCTCTCATATCAACATAACTTTTCTTTGTACAGTTGCTCACGCCCTAAATATAGCCACAAGGGAAGGCTAAAGGAATGCAACCGAGCTCACCCAGCATTCTAACCATCTGGCATCGCAAATGATATCTTGCTTAGGCCAGTTCCACAATAAGACCTAGCAAAATTTAGACACCACACTATGCCTAAACTCCCTACCATCTAACTATTTTCTATTATTCTGCTAAAGCAAATTGAGTTTGATGATCCACTGGCTTTGCCTAAAAATAATCTTTCCTTCTTTTCGACGCTATTTAACTTGTGTATTGCTCAAATGTCTTTGATTGGTGACTCTAACTGCTTCATCGTTTTCATATTCCTTCCCCTACATCAAACCGCCGCAATCATGGCATCACCAAGCTGCACCGAAGACACCCAAATGAGAATGCATACGAACTGGCATCATATGGCGACAGAAATCCAAAATAAAATTATTTGCAAAAATATCACTTTTGTAACCTTGTAAATACCCAATCCATTGATAACTTCGCATGCCTGAGCGGGTTGCACATTCAAATATGATCCGTCCCTTAGTGGGCTCGGTTTCTCAGTAACATGAGAAGATATGCCATAGTATGATTTTACCGTTAAGGTTCATCATCCGCAATATAGTTAGACAATTATTCTTTGGAGATCACGTCTCATTATGCAATGCAAGCGGTTTGCGAATGAAAGGCCTTTTTCCAAACGATCCTTTCAACGCTATTGATTGTGGGAAGAAGGATACTCTCGCACGCTACTGATGAATATATTGCTGCGGATAATGTGCCTGCTGCGTCCTGATTTTTTCTTATAGCCCCATACCCCAAGGGAACGTCACGATAGGTGTGCATCCCACATGATTCGCGTTGTATTTCACAAGCAAACTTTACCAAGCTTTCTACGTTACCAGAGGATTAAAGTTTTCAAATAACGGTTAGCCAGGTAGTTGGTTTCTTTAAACTAATTATTCGTAATATATAAAACCAATCAGTGAAATTTGCGAAACAATATTATGAACTATTTCTTTGAAATACTCTAGCTGCTACTGGTGCGCATCCATTCATAAATCGTCGACAAGGCTGAAGCTGGCTATTTTCTGCAGAATACGAACCTAAAATCCGATCCTACTGTACATTGCTCAAAATAAGTGTGTTACGAGTATCCAGTAACCGCAGAGAATTAAGATTACTGCGTTTGATATCAGTTTATACCACCTGCGTGTTTGACTTCCACAGACTTATTTGAGTAACGTGCCAATGGCTGTAAACTTAACGCAAAAATATGTTGACATTTAGAAGTAATTTGAAGAAACAAACAAATTTAAAAATAGTGATTATATGATTTTGCTTGATGGCACTACGTTAGCAATTTACAAAAGGACGTTGCGCCGGTTTAAATCATCTCCGCTAAAATGCTTGATCCAGTTTCAACCATTGAGTGCCATTGAGTTTGTATGATAACCTATACATTAATTACATTTTACACTGTTTCACTCAGAGCTGCGTCCAATGTACGAGCAGGTTTCAATCCATTGCGTAAGAAGCGGTTAAACATGTTTCCATGATGCGTTCCCTTTCAAATATTTAAACTTTGGTTGCCACATGCGCTATCAAAGCACTTGTACACAGGTGTTGCCTGACACATGAGCTGTTGCCTTGTTAACCGCCGGTACATGTTTGACTTTCTTCCTGCCTGCCTGCAGTATGCTTTTTAACAAATTTTAAATTTAATTGCAGCGTGAAGCTTTGTATTTGTTTTTAGGTAGAACTCGTTTAAAGTTAGTTTTTCCGAAAATTAGCTTTCAGGTTTGACCATAATTCACCATAATTCCTCAACGCTTTAACCAGTACACACCAAATTGGTTAATTTGATGAGTGAGATAGAGTGACTAAATGATTATCCTTTAAATATTTCATTAGTAAATAACATAGATCGCTAAATGTATGTCATAATAAAAGGTTATCTCTTAGACAACTGGTAAAGAAACAATGGAACAAATAGTAACGGTCGTACCAAAACTTTCCAATTTAGATGACGTACAATAATAGTATATGTACGGCTACATCCCGCTTACAAGTTATATAGATGCATATCGTCAAAACAACATCAGCAGATTCGTTATAAAGATGGCAAATGCTATGTGCTAGATGGTTTGTTGTATGAGTTAGCAACGTAAATGGTATTAAGCTGTGAAGTTTAGGAGATTTGTGCTAGTATTTTTGGTATATCTTGACAAGTATTTTAATGACATTTCGAGCATAACAACATGTTTGCCGCTTGAAGACAAAAACAGCATAATGAGCTTGACCTCGTTATTTGCTTTGTTGTGGTAGTGACAATGCTCCGTAACAAATAGATACTAATTGAATAATATCGAGTACATTCTTTTTGTTTTCTTATTATTTTGATTTAAATAAAATGTACTTAACTTCCTACCTAGTTTCTACAAATCCGTTTTATCATGACGCGTAGCACGTGAAACAAAATTTTGGATTTATTTAGTCCTTCATGAATACTTCAGTTATCATTTCGGTATAAACGTGGATCCGCAATTTTATCTTTGTCACACACTGTAAGTTAGAATTAAACATTACGTATATTAACATCTGTTAATTGAATCTCAATTTCGGATAAGCATTATAAAAATGATATTTAAATATTCTCGAACCTGGAATCCAAAGCGGTTGGTGATTTTCTCTCTCCAGCGGTGAAATACATTTTCGTGCGCTCCTCCGAGATATAAATAATCAGCAAGGTTGAAATTTTTCGAAAAATTTCCGGGGATCACAGACATCTGAATTTCTGACTCCGTCAATTCACCTTTATCAATCTTGGTAGTAATTATGTTGTCCTCGACGTTATACCTAAGGAGAACGGAGAATCATTTGATGGCATATCGATACGATCTTTTACGTTTGAGCGCAGTACAACACTAAGATTTCATTAGTTTTTATACTGATGTGAATTATGAAGTCATAACTTGCAGTAATGAATGGTCTAAGAGTGTTTATGTCTGAAACTGAATACTTGCTTTACTTATTTTACAAAGTACTGAACGATTGTTTTCCAAACTTAACCCATCAGCAGTAATACATAACGAGCTATCGTAATGAAGGAACGGAGCCCATCAAGTAATTAATTTTTATTATTATTTTAGTTGACCAAATTAGCTTAATTATGGGCGTTCCGTGTGAGATTTACAACCAAAATTTAAATTGATTTTGCTCACAAACATAGATGTTCCACCTGTGTCATTTTGTCAATGTCATCATTATTTATTTTAAGATATTCGTGCTGCAAGAACTTCCCGAAAAATATTCTGAAATATGCCCTACATAGTATACAAATCGCTCTGGAATAGCACCACAAATGTACTTGCCTTAACATCTCAACTTCGTGCCAATTGTTGTCATTCATTCTGTTAGACGACAATTGATATCTCTGCAGCCCACTCCCCATATCAAAGCTGAGGAATAAGCTAGCTTTATGAAGTTCAAACAAGATAAAGTCACCACTGGACAGGTCTGAATTGAAAAGTAGGAGTCCGTTAAGCTGGGTTGTGCGGAAGGCAAACCGTAGGCTGAACTTGCCATACAGCTGCAGGGAAGGACACATCAAGTATCCATACGCATCCAAAAAAGTGATGATATTTTCCAGATGGTGATGATTACTATGTAAATGTCGTGTTCTTCGCCTTGCTGATGAATACGAAACTCCTTCTGACGCAGTGGTGCCATCATGAAAATAGTGGGTGATGCCAGGCAATTTTTCGGTAATTTTTGGCTCCTGATGTCTGACATGGAACTGTGCTGACAACCACCGATCTCTTACTAAAAAAATGCACAAATAACAGACGTGTTAAATTAGCGTATCGTATTCAAACTTCCAAAAGCAAAATAAGCAAAACATGTAGGATTTAAACCACCATAATGTACAGTTAAATCATTTCCTTCAAGCTTATGTTTTTCGCTTAAATAATAAAAGTAATTTTAAAACATTTAACTGCTGATGCACCGCGAGCTTCAAACAAATACGCTTCAGTGGAATCAAGCCTTGCAGCCTATCATTCATCCGATTATTCATTTAATTTTTACTTTGACTGCAGTCCTCCGGAGTGTCTAACTAGGATCAAATGTGTAAAAGTAAATATCTTTGTTAATACAAATATAGGTTTACCCAACTGCAACTTACTTACTTTATTTACTTACTTACTTTACTTACTGCAAAGGAATTGTATATTTAGTTGTATCTGATGCAATTCCGTGGTAGACAGTTAGTATTTAGCGATCTTCGTGCGGCGTAGTAATGCATGATAATCACTTAAGTTGCAACTAATTATTCATTTGCTTACTTAGGTAAAGTTTATAAAATTGCTGTTTCGGTTAATTTTAGCAAGCATATATCCGCATATATTCATATTCGAGCTCACATTGCTTTATTAAAATGTAGTAATGTTTGAATACCCATGCTGAAGATTTTTCAATGAACCACACTTTCTAATTTTTGCCCCCTGAAAAACCTACAGGGCATGAGAACGAAGATCACTACTATGTTGAATCGTATTTTAACCATGGATTATTAAAATCAGATGAGAAACCAATGTCAGTGCTGTTTTCTAGGCGATTCGATTGGAACATGGTTCGAAACGTCTCGACATTGTGATACATGGAGAATGTCATGATCAATTACAGTACGCACACTAGGACACAAATAATTTCGCATAAAACTTGAATTGAAAAGTATTTTAGGGTAGTCTGCAGATGAGTGAGAATTTTGTTTCATCAATATTACTTTAGATGACTTCCCCAAATGTGGAATGATTAATTTTCTTCCGCTGATGGCTTTGCAACTTTGTCAGTAGATGCATAAGAAGCACCAGCGAAGAATTCAGCTGACACGACATAGAATGGAAAGCGTAATACACATGCCACCAAAAATTATATGAACAGGATTTATATAATCCATGGGAGGAAAAATCCAGTTGAGTTGGAAGATCAAGCGGTGCACGTTAAAGAGCACTGGTTGTGTATGAGCAAGTGTCAACAATAAACTTCAACTTTTGTACAATAATATTTGCAAGCGTCGCAAACTAAGTAAAGGAGTGCTGGGTTCTGAACTCAGATGAAATTATGTTAGAATTTTAGACCATATTATATTACTCCTCCTGCGAGTTTTAAATATTGTTTGTGGATGAAATTAGCGCACAATCTATGTTTGTTTGTGCTTTTGAATTTTTCTTTGTCAATTCTACCCACATTATATCCCATTAAGCTAACGTTCGCGAAAGGACAAGAATGCCTAAATCTACGGATAAGAACCTTTATACGATTAATAAAGAAAAACTAGTGCTTTCAGTGTGCATTGTTATGCAATATTGCCAAACCTAATCTAGTAATCTGAGCAATGAACAATGAACAATGAATTTATCCGTTGCTTTACAAGTTGCTTTACAAGTCCTGTTGGATAGTTGGTGGGGATATCAACATAATAATTATGATGAAAAGGATAGTAAAATAGTTAATACTTTAAATACGAAAATAAGGACTTATATTTTGCTTTGCTGCAGTCCTGCGATCCACTTAGATTCACAACACTCACAGGTAACAACAAATAATTCCATGGTAAACTCCAGGTGTAGGATAGAGACATAGTGTAAAGTAACAAAGTGTAAGTGTATGAGTGCATCGTCCAACCGTCTTTTAAATATTGTTAGTGTCGGTGCAGAGACGACCGATTCTGGGAGAGCATTCCACGGGTGACAGACACGGATGGAAAAGAAATTTCTGCTACACTCCAGACGACTGTATTGTTCTGCGAGTTTTGCTGAGTGGCCCCTCAGGTTTGTATTGCTGCTGAGTTGCAGTAAAGGGCGGCACACATGATGTGGGTCTCGCGGAATCAAGTATGCCATAATCAGGTCGCCTCGTAGTCTGCGATAGCTTCCACCGAACAAATCCAGTCGTCGCAGCCTCTCCTGGTATGAAAGGTTGCGCATTCCAATTACGTTCTTAGATGCCCGGGGTTGTGGCTGCTCCAGTGCATCAAGATCGTGTTTCAGCCATGGATGCCAGGCTTGAATTGCATATTCGACATGGGGGCGAACATACGCACTGAGCATTTGTCGAAATATGGAGCTGTTTATTTGTCTAAACGCCCGCCTCAACAGCCCAACGTGTTGGTTCCCGGTCTTCGAGGCCTTTTCGGATTGCCTGGAGCAACCCAAGTCATCTTGAACCAGGACACCCAAGTCACGTTTGAGAGTTGATTGTTGCAGTACATCCGTTCAGAGTCGGTATGAGTAGCTGCTTTGATGTCGGATTGAAAGCACCTTACATTTACTGACGTTGAAATGCAATAAGTTTTGGATCGACCATTGATACACTGTATCTAAGTCACTTTGGAGCACATGTTGGTCGGCGTTCGCCTGGATCCTGCGCCAGATCTTGATATCGTCTGCAAACATTACGAAGTTTGAAGCGATTCCCTGTGGAAGGTCATTAATAAACACCAGGAACCAACGTGGACCTAGAACTGAGCCTTGCGGCACACCACACTCGACTTGTATGTGGTCCGATAAAGAGCTCCGAACTCTGACCACTAATTGCTGTTGAAATAGAAAGTTGGCGATCCAGCTTAAAAGAGGGTCTCCGATCCCGTAATGCTGCAGCTTGGATGGTAGTATCCGATGGCCTAGACGATCAAAAGCCTTGGAAAAATCCAGGTAGATCACATCAACACCTTCTCCAGCGTCGGCTGCCTCGGTCCACCTACTGCGTGCAATGAGTAAATTAGTTGTACATGACCGCTGTCGACGGAAACCGTGCTGTTCAGGAGTGATGAGGTTGCAGTTTTCCAGATAGCACACCAACGCATCGGCAACTATGGATTCCATGACCTTGGAGAATATAGGAAGAAGGGTTACTGGGCGATAGTTGGAGGGATCAGATCTGCTTCCACTTTTGTGAATCGGGCTTATTATTCCAAGCTTCAACATGGCGGGAACTTGGTTCCGGTCTAAGCAGTGCTGAAAAAACTGAGCTAAATATCCTGCCAGTTGGTTTGCTGCTACTCCCAATGCCTCTGGAGGAATAATGTCAACACCCGGCGAGCTGTGTTTGCGTAGAGAAGTCAGCTTTTGCAAAACAGCCTCTGCGGAAAAATTGATGTGGGTTAGTCCTGGTGAGCAGAACACAAATCTTAGTAGATCGCTTGGTGGCAAGACCCTCTAAACGTGGGGGCTTATTGCATCTGCAGCGCGTTTGCATCTTCCATAGACGTTCTTGTTGGGCCCTCAGCTGTCTTGAGTGGAGGAAATCCTTGCCTCACCTTTCGTAGGCTATTAACGTGCTTGTACAGCAGTTTGTGGTTAGCACTGAAGGTTTTTGCGGTGTTCTGCTGATAGGCGGCTTTGTCTTCTCTTAACAGTTGAGTGCAGTGGTTACGTTGGGCTACGTAGTTGTCCCAAGTTTCTGGTGCTGGAGCTTCTCTGTACACTCGCCATGCTGCGTTGCGTACTGTCATCCATTTTCGGGTTCTGCTCCTAACGAAAGAAACGGATTTGCACTTATTGCAAGCTTTTATCTCTGAAGCCTGTGCAATCAGCTGACTCAATGTTTTGACGAACTCGAGCCAGGCGACTTCCGGGGGTTCTTCTTTGAGGAAAGACCATGTTGTGGCGCTGACTAGCTGGGCGAGTCGGTCGTACCTTGTGATGGTTCGCACAGTATCATCGTTATCATTCCGATATTCTGCATAGCAGACCAAGTTGAAACTGATGACTGCGTGATCACTGCGACCCAACGGGCAGTCTAAAACCAACGCATCAATCATATGCTCCTCGTTGGTAAGCACAAAAACCACACAGAAGGCCTGTTACCAGTTCTGAACCGAGTGGGCAAAGTGATGTGGTTGTAAATAGGAGCAGTAGTTACTAGATCTTGTAAATCGGTTTTGAATTGTTCGCCGGTTGTGGCAGGGGATTCTAAACAATGTACGTTGAAATCACCCATGATAAGAAGGTGAGTGTACTTTTGTTGTAAACTGCACCTTAAAGTAGCCATTAGGTGGTAGTCGGTTTCGGGTGTTGAGTTAAGGGGGCGGTACACCAAGACAATAAGGCAAGCGTCCCTGCCTTTTAACTGCAACCAGCACCACAGAGAGTCGGGGAACTGCGAATCTGAATCTTCCACGGATTCGCACTGTAAGTCGTTTCGGTAGTACAGGATTACCCCTCCTCCTTTTGTGAGCCTATCGTTCCGGATCAGCGACATGCCGGGTAGTGACACTTCAGCGTCCGTCATTCCCGTGTGCAACCATGTCTCGGTGATACCAATGACATCATACGAGCCGGAAGCTTGGCGATCTTTCAGTTCAGCCAGTTTGTTAGAAAGTCCCTGAGCATTTGTATACAAGCAGGCCAGTTTCTCGGTCTCTAGGTGCCCGCAGAGAGGTGAAGCTGTCAAGTGTGGGAGAATGCCGACCGATGGGAGGTCGGCAGTTATTCGTTTTTTTGATGGGTCAATGGTACCTCGTTTGCAACTTGATTCGGCCAAAGTACGTCCCAGCCTTCGTTTAGACCTACTTCAGGGTCA